TTAGCATTTTTGCAGTTGCCAGCATCTAAAACGTAGAGTGAAGAATTGTCCAAATATGCAACAGTATAAATCCCGGGGGTGGGGGGGGGGGGGTCAGGACCCCCCCAATCTTGGAAAAGTCTAGAATTGCAGTCCAAAGTGCAGGAGGAGCAACAGCTGAGCTGAGCAGCTGAAGTGAGGAGCTAGCTGTTAGCTACTGCTGTGGCTCTACAGCACTAACAAAAAAACCCTTCAGTAAGTAAATACTTAAACCAAAAGACATGTAACACGTTTTATTTACTTTCAGTGCTCAATAGGAAGAAACACACTGACAATAAAAATTAGTCCACAGTTTATTTTATTACTTTGGCTGAATCATGATAAACTGCCACCTTATGCCTTGGAAATCAAAACTAGCTAAACTGCTACATTGCTTTCATCGACTTCACTCCTTTTTCTGTCGAAGGTAGCCAATATTTCAATTATATTTTGCTCTCTACTTTAATAAGGAGAGTTTGAAATGGGAGCAGCTGAGCGTTACAACTAGCCGACAGCTCTGTATGGGAGCCGAGAACAGAGGGGCTACTGCAGCTGACAGTAAAAAAAAATAAAGTATGCCTTTATTTCTTACCATCTTCAACGTAGAGCCTTTAAAACCACAAAATAAAATCTTAATATTTTTCTGGAAAACTCTGGTGCTTACCTTTAAGTTTAAGTTATGATACCAAATATTCAATTCCTACATATTTATAGGTTTTCACATGAAAAAAATAAAAATAAAAATTTAAAGCAACTTAAGTTATAATTTAAATAACACGTGGCTTGTATTGAGAACCACTGCAATAAATCAATATTTATGAGGAATTTTATTAAGTGGAGTTACTTATTAAAACTTCCCAGCTAGCAAGCAAATGTTCGTACGATATCCGTGAACGTAGTCTGAAAGTCGAAAGTTCGGACCTGACGTTCAGCAAACGTCTTAACATTCACTCTGAACATTCGTTCCCAATTAATTTTCTTTTTTTTTTCTTTTTTTTTTGCTGTCATTTCACTTGAATTAGTTTTTATATCTTTAAAACTTTTATGGCTGTTTATATATTTTTTTTCTTCTTATACAAAGCGCATACTTCTGAATGTTGTTTGAACGTTCTTGAACGACTTTCGGACGTTTTCATAAATGCTGCTTTAAAAAACTTCCAAAACAAACGTAGGCATAACGAACTTCTCTTTATTTCTCCCCCTACGAAGGAAAAACCAGAAGAAAAAAAAAAAAAACGCAGTCCAGAAAAAAAAAAAAAAAAAAAAGGCACGGGCTAAAGGCCTTTTTTTTAATCCTGTGTTTTTTTTTGTTTTTTTTTTACCAAATAAGTAAAAAAGATGATCGTAAATACAGACATTAATAAACTAAAAAGGTTGAAACACAAGAATAAAACCACAACATAAGTCTTTGATGAGGCTTTTTTAGCAGTTTTACAGAGGAAAGGAAGTCAGCATTAATGGGTCACTGCTGCCATCTAGCGGCTATATTTATGTAGTACAAGAAATTGCAGCACTTTGACTTGTTAAATTAGAATATGCATTCAGATCAGTCTTGTCAGATTGAAATATGCGTTCAATACTTTTATTTTCAGAATAGCATTCTCAACGTATCTGTATTTCTTATTGCACTAATGTAATGTTTTAATTTTATATGTCATGTTTTATTAGTTGCAAGTGGAAAATCACAATTAAGAGAATATTAGAAAACATTCATCTGTGTGTAATTAATAAATCTAATATCTTTTACCTAACAATAAAGCTCCTGTAATAAACTGTCCAAAGCGGGGCCACTTTGGCACTGATTGCAAATGACGTCAAACTACAAAACTTAGAACAAGATCAGTAAGCTGCGTTTTAGGGGGAACCACTGTCATCCGATCATCTGATTTAGATTAATATTAACGGTTTAATGTCCAACAATAGTTGTTTGCCAACCGTAAATAAACTCAAGATGAAGAACTGTTTTACATGAATGACACTGACAGTGCAAGCTGCGCAAGACAGAGTTGCTCACCATGGCGTGACACTAATCGATTAACAGGCTTTCCCGAATTGATATTTAATTGGACAAATGAACGACAAAGTATTGATGAATCAATATTTTTACCAACTCCGATTGCAAGCGGGAACTTGGCAAGTATAGGCCCAGACAACTTAGTTTAACCTTTACTTCCCTAAGAACAATTTCTTAGCAACATTAGCCTGAAAGTTATTTCTATTGTTAAAGCAGCTGTCTTCAATTTAATTCAAAAATATTTTATCCCAAATGGAAATTGTTGTCTTAACTCATATCATCCAATTATTTTCAAAGAGTTGTTAGAGATTGTGATGGATATCCAGTAGCAGTCAGTCTCACAGCAACTCTGAAGAGGCCTCTCACTGAAGACTGTTGCTGTGTGACAGTCGCTGGACCTTTTCAACTCCTCTGGGATTTGATGTCATATTTCAGCAAATATTTGAGTTTTGGACACTTACCAGCTGCTCCCAGTTGTGAAAACGATACTTTGTTGCCATGGTTACACATCATGACTGTTCTAAAAAAACAAAAAAGAAAGAAAGTCAAAGAAAAAAATCCTTCCAGCTGCCTCTAAAACTAGAGGAATTAATTTTCCATACATGAAAAGATTTGAAAAAAAGGTTCAGAGACTTTTATTTTGCAGAGCTCTTTATTACAACGGAGCAGCTCCTGAGCAAAGTCACAAAGTTTTAAATAAATATGATTCAAGTTACACACATCCCTTAAAACTTTCACAATCTCTGAAATGGACGGTCGTTCCTACTGTAAGAAAAAGAAAGCTATGAAGAAACTTCTTGATTTAAAAAAAAAAATAGTCGGTATAATAACGTTAATTTGATTTCAATTTATACAAACATAAAACTCAGGAATCTGAAATCACATTCAAACAGTGAAATGGTCCACAAGGACGGGGGTCATGACAGAGGAACTCTATGGAGTAGTTCCATAAGCTGGAGCTAAACCCATAAAGTTTGTTCAAAAGAAAAAAAAAACTGAAACTGGGGGAAAATAAAAACATTGAATCTGAAAAGCAGTTTTGAACATCTTTTTCAGTTTCACATTTTTTTGCTTAATTCATTTTTTTCTTCTTTTGAACAAAGTTTATGGCCCAAATTTAGCTCCTTAGAACTCTGACAAGGGTTTCTGTTTGGTTCTGAGGCCATGTTGGTGATCCGTTCTGGTTGCGGCGCGCTCATTCAGTCTTGGGCTTGTCTGCGTTGTTTACATATTTCTGGTAAACCACGCCCAGTGTGGTGAACAGGTTTCCTATGAAAAGCACCAGGTAGGAGCAGCCGCACATCAACACCTGGATGGCAAAATAAAATTAAGGCACGGAAAATTCAGACTGGAGGTCATTTTATTTTGACAGACTGTAATATATTTAGCCACATTAAAACCAAACTCTATGTAAATGTATGTGATTTGGGTTTTGTGTGGCAGAACCACCAGATTTGTAAAGTGGAAGGAAAATGTAATTGGTTTTCAGCAATTTTTAAACATAAAAATCTGACTAGTGTGACATACATTTATATTCATTTCTCCTGAGTCAATAACTTATGTTTGTCCAATGTTTGTCCAAGTGTGGACCACCAGAGGGTGCTGTGGGAGCCTCAGGAAGTTGTAGGGAAGATGAGAAAAATTTCAAAAGTAAAACAAATTGAATTCCATATTTTTTTTAACTTAAATGTATCTATTATTCAATCATGTTTTGTAAAATAAAATCTAAGCTAAAATAATTTATCTAAATGTTATTTCTAAAGCTCATTTTCTGATTGGCTGCCTGTCAAATTCAATAAACTGTTTAGCTCCTCAAACTAGCATAGCAATCAAGAAATGGAAAAGTTTCTGACAAGGAAAAGACCAAAAGAACCATACAGCTGTCTGAAAAAATTAGTTGTGATGTCATCTGAGCAGAGCATCTTCTGCTTGTTCAATGTGGCCTCCTCATGTGGCATGTGACAAATGTGGAAAAGTTCAAGATATGTGAATACTTTGGATTTTTTACAATTGATGGGAAGAGAATGACGTTTTTTGGGAAACTAACCTGCCACTCTTTGCACTCTGGGAGCTGGAACATCTCGAAAAGCGTCATGCTGTTGTACAGTTGCCAAAACTGGAACCGAAAAAAAAAAATCAAGCTCAACAAGACAACTCAGAAAAAAAAAAAATTATGAATTTGATTTATTGAATGATGTCACTTTTAAAACAAAGGCTACATACTTGACCGAAGAACAAGAAGGGAAGCAGGAAGGTCAGGCCTCTCCACATCCAGGACTGGAAGCCCTCTGAACACCCAGAGAGGACAGTTAAACTGAGCTGACATCAAACAGGCTTCCTGCTGCTACGAAGGCTGAATTTAAACATTCTACAGCAGAGACCAGAAAACTGTTGTAACAGAAACTTCTGCTCATAACATTCTCCTCATCCAATAATTGTTATTTTGCAATGATGTTGAGTAAATGGGGAGAAAGTCACAGATTAGAAAATGTGGACCATTATGAATATAGATGTTATGATGTGCTAATAACTGATATTTACCAATATTATACATATATAGCACAATATTCACAGATTAAGCTGTTCTGGGA